TTTAATTAATTCTTCCATGAATTAGGAAATAATTTTATTTATTGAAAATTGAAGTTGAAGGACATTCTTGGTACTTTCTAAAGTTCAAGGATGAATTGGTTCAAAAATAAAAGTTGAGAGACAAATTCAGGTATTTAACCTAAAAAATATATTAGCCACGTCAACATCACTATTTAATTAATCCTTAAATAGAAAAAGTTGAAAGTTGACATCCTTAAATAGAAAAAAGTTGAAAGTTGACATCCTTATTTAGAAACTGACAAAGTTAACATCTTTATTTAGAAACTGTCAAAGTTAACATCCTTAAATAAAAAAAAATGCAAAGTTGGAATCTTTATTTGCACCTTTACTCCTGGAATGTAGATTGAAATTGATTTACACCCCCGTTCACTTATTTTTTAAGAAAAAAAATGTTAATATAATTTGTCACTTCAATTTATATTTTTAAGAAATTTAATTAAATTTAATGATTTTAAGAGTAATAATTTGATGAAATTTAATAATATTGTTAAATTTAGATTAATTTTTTAAAAATAAAATTTTTGAGTGATAAATTATGTTGACATTTTTTTAAAATAGTAATTTACTTTAATTTAATAATTTTAAAGGATAATTTACACATTTAACCTATTAAAAAATGTAAAAAAAAAAATTTTTGAAAAACATTTTCTTGCGAAGCAAACAGACCCTTAAGACAATCGGGATGTTTCAGTGGATTCTGGAAATGATTTGAAGTCAACTTGTACATGGAAAATTTCAAACCATTGACCTGGTCACCGGCAAAGGACAAAAAAATCGTAGAAAGACGTGTGCTGCTGTTGCTGTTCCAAGGATTAAGCTTGAAAATTTCTTCCTAAGTATAAACCGCACCTAGAAGTCACCATGTTGGCAACTGACACTGACAGGAGCTGACTTCTGTTCGAGATTTTATTTGGAAGACATCACCATCAACGCGGGTTTAGGTTTTGACTACGCAACTCCAACTTCTGTTTTTTTGTAATTTTGAAGTTTCTAGTATTGAATTGTGTCTGAAGATTGCAACATTGCAGAGTAGAAGCTAAGTAAACAGTTAATTAAAAATGAAGAGAGTGTTGGAGAGAAAATATAGTTTTTAATATCACAATCCGTCATACTCGGGAAAAGGTAGACAACTCTTTTCTAGGAGTAAACATTACATCAAAAAGATTCTACATGACACAACAGAGGCAGAAGCCTAAAACTAATCAGCTAACTGACTTAACACTATTGAAAGATTAATGGGGTAAGTAAATCTCCTTATGAAAAATGAGATGTCAATAAAGACAATAAGATTACACAGATTAAACAAACGACATGATGTGAGATGATGATTTTGGTATTGCCGATTGATTGCCACTGGTGTAGTCAGTAAGGTGAGGACTATTAGATTAGCCTCCAGGCACAGGTACGTTGATGTCATTGGTTTTATTTCTTGTATCTGAGGGAAATGAAGACCAGTCATCGCTGTGGAAGGATGAAGATGAAGGGTTTGGTTTTGGATCAGTGCTAGAAACAGGAATTGTAGCCGTTAGTGCGCCGGATGATATGGTGGTATCGTGTTTCTGTTTTTTCTGCTTCTGCTCATGTTGGTTGCCTGCAAGGAAGCTTCCTACTACGACCTGTTTCAAACCAACAAAAAGTGAAAATGTTTACCACAGTATCCAATTAGAGGACTGTTTATGGTTGCTAAACCATTTGTATCAAAAACAAGTATGAAAAACCACAAAGAAAAGGTTTCTTCTTGGAGAAAATTAAGTAGCCAAAAGATAATGAGACCTGGACAGGACTAGCAGCTACTAACAGACCAGCAACTCCACCGCCTACCACACGCCCATCTGGACTCGCCAATGAAACACTCATTCCACCAGATCGGCTCCTTGTTCCTCCACTGTCACTGAGCATGAATGAACCTGACAAGGACAGAATCTCGAAACGACCCTGCAAGAATAATAACAAAAGATGGGATGTCGACAGGGCAAACCTATAGGGACTTCTAATAATACAAAACTGCTGTTTTCCTTTGATTATAAACCAGAAATAACCCTTCCTAATAGTCAAATACCACCATTGTTAAAGAAAAAAATGACTAGTTAGCCCATCAAGCTTCTATTGGTCATTTAAAAGGAACATTGCTTAGGACCAAATATTCTCCAAATGACCAAAGCAATGAGTTCTAACAAGTATTTCTCCATCTAAATGAAATGAATAGAAAAACCATAGTTGGCACTTCAGTATATGAACCCTAAAATACACCTGAACCTACTTTTACACAACTAGTTTCAATATCTTAATGTTCAACTTCAACATAGAGCCAACTATGTATTAGACCCAAATGCTTCTAAAATATCCTTACACAAAATAGAAAAAAGTAATTGCTTTTGTTAATAAACAGGATCACCTCATATGTCAATGTACCACCAGAAGAATCGGGCTGACGAAGTGTAACACTTGAGATCACTCCATTTGCCGAGAGAATGCATATAGCCCGAGGCCCTTGTTGAGAGAAAGATATTATCTTCATTGTAACATCCTAAACAACCAAAACAAAATCACTACACATACCAAGGCCAAGTTCTTTATGCAGCAAGAGAGAGATTTCAAAGTAAACAACTACAAGAATTTATTTCTTCATTGGCCATAATAGTTGAGTAGAATTTTCTATTTTTTATTTTATTTTATTTTATTTTTTATGATTCAGTTCAGTTATCTTTTTCAGGCAGTAATAATTTGCCTATTGACAGTTTGCACAGCTTTCCTTATTTGTCTTAGTGATTAATTTTAATGAGTTTTAGAAATGATCAGATGCTAACCATTGGAGTAATATTCATGGTGGTCAACCATTTTACTCCAGCCATGAAAGTCCAGTTTTGCATGAACACAACTAAGATTAAATGTAAACCATCTTGTCCTGTCAATGCGGTACCAATAAGTTTGCTTGATGTTTACAACATACCTCACCAGCATTAACAGTGATAATATGAGGTGTAAAATTTGCCCCAACAGAGCAAGCAACCCATTCACCTACAAGAGCAAACCCCCAAAAAATCAATACCCACACAATCAACAACATAACCAGGCATAAAGCAAACAAGCATACCATTTTAAGCTTTTATTATTATAAAATGGTAAGGCACTCAATTTACATCCAGTCTAGTGAAGGCCGTGAGATGAAAAACTAGATAACCAAATTAGTAACAATGCAACTTTACAAAAGAAGCTCCAATCAATCAACAAAAAAAAAAAAAGAAAAAATCCCTGTTGGATAAAGGTAGAACTTGACAGAGGTTGAGAAGGTGCCATTTATCAGAGAAACAAGTAACTTTTCTTCCAGTGCAGTAAACCAACAAAGAAAACATCAATTCAGCATTCAAAAACCTAACAGGGCATAAAGACAACTTCTACTCCAGCAAAATCAGTCAGAAAATGAAAGAAGAGTTTCTTGTCCAAGTTTCTCCACATCAATTGCAGACTTGACCCGGTAAACTCAAACTCTCACTTTCCAAAATTTTCCTTCCAGAAAGGATGTCAAGTGGCAAATGATACCCATCTGAGAAAAGATTCCATCATTCCCACACACCAAGACCAAGCAACAAATTTCATTATCCTTTCAACATTTACCAAGATCTCAAATATGGGAGTCCATTCATAGGTCCCACTTCTACTCAACTATGACACACTAAAAAACCCAACTCTGCATCTAAAACACATTCACAACGCACAAAAAGCCATCACCATAGGCAACAAGAATCCAGCTTTAACATTGAAACACCAACTAAGTCACTTGAACTCAAAAGATGCGTACGGAAATTACCATTTATCACTTACCTAAACTTTCCATCTCATACTTCGCCTTTGATACTGAGGTTGGAGACTTCACTTTCCCTCGCTTGCCAGCAGAAAAGTCAATCACTGGAGATGGAGCTGCTGAAGATATTGGCTTTGGAGAAAGAGCCATAGTGACCGTCCCGTCCGGTCCGTACTTTCTGGGCCTTCCACGCTTCTTCTTCGGTGGAATCCCAGCCGCATCTGCAGACAGATGCGGCGGTTGAGCCGTCGCCGGCGGCGGAGGGGGTGCCGCGGATACTTGAGTCGGGCTCGAGTTTAAGTTTTCGGTTCTTGGAGCGATGTGGTAGTCCGATGGACCATCGAATCGCACCACTGTAACCCCACCAGTGGGAGTAGTAGTGGTCACAGCTTCTCTTGACTCCATAGGTAAATCTTAACCCTTCAAATTTAATTTTTCTAAATTCGATGGAGGTTTTGTCAAAAACCCATTAGTATTATAAGCTCAAAATCAGTGAAAAACAAGTTTAAAATTATAAGATAATTCCCAAAAAATAAAACCCAGAAAATAGAAAGTAGAAAAACAAGAGCTTTTAGGTTAAAAACCAGAGAGAGAAAAATGAAAATAAATTGATGATGGAATTTTTCCTAGAACAGGATTAGTATGAGGTAGTAGAGATGCTTTTCCAGTGATTATTGGGCTAAAAAGCTTGGTTTTTTAGTTGATTTTTGGGGTTAAGGGAGGAGTTTAACTGCAACAGAGCCTAAGGTTTTCTAATTTTTGGAAAAAGAAAATTGTATTTTCTTCAATGATGGAGCTGGATTTATGAAGGAGAAAAAAAGATTTGATTTTGAGGTTTCTCTGTGAATTTTGATGTTGAAGGGAAAATGTTGAGATAATAAAGAAGGGTTTTTTTTTATGCTGGTTGAGCTAGTTTTGGGTCCCTAAAAATGCTAACTTTCCTCACACTCTCTGAATTTTAAATTAATTTTAGAAAAGGAAAACACAACTCAATAATGGGGCTTTCATATATACTAATTGTTGGAGTAAATATTTTATTTATTTAATATATCAATATTTTGGTTTTGGTTGGAATCTGTTACTTTAGCGAAATAACTGGTAATAAATAAAGTAACAAGAAAAATGAAAGTGGGTAGATGGTTTTCCCATTCTCTTTCTTACTTTTGTATTTTTCTAGATACAAATAAAGTGGGGTTTATATTATTCTCATACTAATTTATTGTTATCTTTTTCTTCTTTTTTTTTTTGAGTAGATGGCAAGTAAAATTAGGTTGCCAAAGCTTGAAGAAATAATAACATTACCTATTTTTCGGAGCTTGGTAAGCATTACCTAATTATTAAAAAATAAACAAATTGCAAAAAAAAAAAAAAAAAACTTTTGTTATCACAAGTTCTATTTTCTTTTCTTGTTTTTCTTTTAGTGTGTGAATCATTTCTATATTTACCAAAAAAAAAAAAAATTCAAGGGGAGAAATAGAAAGGAAAATAGGTTCTGAAAAATAAATTTCTAAAAGAAGAAAAGGAGAATGAAAGGATGAACAGAAAAGAGCAGAATGATGCAATCTATTGTACATGTACTACTGAAAAGATCTATTGCGCATGTAACATGATGTTTGTTTCTCTATTAGGACTTTGATTATGTACAATGTTAGCAAAAGGCGGCATCAAGCTTTCTCCCTGGCTGTATGGGAAGTTAGACGGAAGAAATTTGGTACTTTCTCTCCAAGTTGGTCAACAATAGATCAACTCAAAAATATTCGGTAAGCATATCATATCTCACCAATTTCTACCACATATCATATCTCATCAACAATATCACCCATTTTGAGTCAAGTGCTTTTTCAAGGACAAGATTTTCCATGATATTCTCGGCCGGAAAACTGAAAAAGGTTGTTTGAATTTGAAACTTGTTGGCTTTATATGAGCAACTTAATGACTGAGTCCAAGTTTTCCTTGTGTAAAGTTAGCATGCTTTTCTAACTATTCAAGCCAATAATGATATTGTCTCACTCGACCTATTATGTTTTACAGTTTTAAAATTCATCACTTAAAAATAAAAATGGATACCAACTTATATACTGCATATATTTTTTTTTATATATTTTGATGATATGAGATTTATTTAATTACACCTCTATTATGATTTAAAGTCCTCCACAAGATTTATCCCAATATCATTTAAAAGGTCATGTAAAGTGGTTTTTGATACCATTGTAATAACAAATTATTGGACTTCATGGTCACTTATGGTTAATAGATATTAACTTTTATGGTTAATATCTCTCATATACTTTGATAAAAAATGTAGATTAGCTCTTAAAATTGTTGCATTGAAACAAATCTTAACCCAAAAAAAATGTTAATGCAATTTGTCGTTTTAAATTTTTATTTTCAAAATATCAATTCAAATTCAATAATTACTGTCAACTTTTCACAAAATTTAAAAGCAATTGTTTCACAAAATTTAACAAAAACTATTAAACTTGGATTGATTTTTTAAAAACAAAAACTTTAAGCGGCAAATTGCGTCAATATTTTTTTGGATGGTGATTTACTTCAACGTAATAATTTTAAAAGATGATATACATATTTAACCTTTTATTTTTATTTTTTTCATTAGAATATGATAAATTTTCTTATTTTACTATTCTAAAGTGAGAAGGGAAGCTTGTGTTTGAACTCATCACATAGAAGTAACTACTCACTAAATTAACTTACATAACAAAGTATAGATGATACAAATCTAGATAAAATCCGTCATATGCAGTCGTAGAGCACACAATCTCAAAGTTATGAAACATTACTCTCTAAATTTTTTACCAATTGATCCAAAATCTCATTCACATCTAATGTGTTTTTCATAATTAAGCTATATTTGATACAGTTGGTGGGAAGTCTTTTTGGACTCTAAAAACTCTAACTGCATTAAACACTATAATTTGTAAAAAATACTATAATTTCTCACAAGTTAGTATTTTATCCATTTTATTACAAATTTCAAAAACATCGAATTGATGTTTTTACAGGGGTTTTTTTATTTAGATTCTAATGAAATTAACATATTATTTTTATTTTATTTTTATTTTATTTTTATTTTTCTTTTTATTTATAAAAATAGCACACTTCTACAACTATTTTTCCAACAAAATTTATATTAAAAATTTCAGTCACACCAAACGGTGACTTAGTTTCCTTATTATTGCCTTAGTAGTTTGAATTGAAAATCTTGATTTAGAGAAAGAGAGAGACTTTCTTTAACAAAAATATTATATAAATGGGGAAAATGGATGTAATCATATTTCCAAAAAAAAAAAAAATTTCTTAATGATGAGGATGGACCACAACCATTGACCCGCGGAAAATGCTATGAATTTCAGTTATAATATTCACAAAATTGAAAGGTATCTTTGCTAGGGTAGATTATAAGCTACCAAAAACAAGAAAAATATATTAAAGAAATTGTATTAAGATAAGAACAAATTAAGTAATGAATCTCATAAGAATTTTATAAATCATGGTGATGATCAATTCGATGAACTTTGCCTCTAAACTTTTTATTTTATTTCACTTTCTTTAATTTATGATTTTTTAACATTATGATTTTGATATTACGGAGATTTCACATTCATTTTGTTTATTTTATTTTTGGTCGGTAATAATCAAACCCTGCTTTTTACTACGGATTATTGCTTTAAAAATCACTGGAAGGGAAGGGGGAAGGTGAATAAATAATCAGTTTTTATTAGAATGTAATAATTCACATTTTTGTGATTAATTTGTGTAAAAAAAAGTAAAACTTAACTTTTTAAAATAATTAATCAATTAAAATTTTACACCTATTAATAGTATTAAAATAAATATTTATTTATATATTTTATATAAATTAATTATAAAAATTACTTATTACGCATTTAATCCATGTATAGGCATAATATAAATAAACTTATAAATAATTTCAAAGAAAATGATGTTATAAGAACAATTTTTTTATATCAACTTTTAATACAACTTTCACATATCATTAAATGAATTGGTGAATTCAATATTATGAATTCTCCATAAATTAAAAAAATTAATTATTTAAATAATATGTCAAATTACATCAAAAAAATAATACAAAAAAATTATTTTAAAATTATTTCCCTTTCAAAGATTTCTCTAAGAAATTACCACTTTCTTTCG